GGCTTTACCTTCAGCCGTATTGGCTTCGGGTGAGCGCGGGTTTGCTTCCGCCGCCGGAGCCTGCAGGTTCTCCCGCACATGCGCGATGAGGTCCTGCTCGTACGCGTCGAATGCATTGACGCGCTCGAGCTGCTCAGCCGGTGTTGATACCACCAGGCTCTGCAGGGCCTCCATCCCGAAGATGCCTGCCATCTTCCGAACCGACTCGAACTGAGAGTCGTTCATATGGGAGAAGTCGTTCCTATCCATGGCAACGAACTTCGGAGGTTCAGGTAGTCTACCCGCGATGGCGTGGATTGACTACAAGTGCTACCAAGTGTGACGGGGTCACACAGCACCTTGCGCTAGAGGAAGTTATCTTCCGAGAGTATACAAACTCTCAGTGAACGGCAGTTCACAGGTCCCCTCTTTAATTAAAGAGAGCGAAGTGACCTAAATAAGGTAGATTGTAAACTGAGTATATTTATAGGTAGGTTAAGTTTGAGGTTAATACAAACTATCAGTTACCTATAGAAATGCAATGTCATTTAACCAATGGTTGGTTTTGAATGACCTTGGTACCTTGTACCAAATATCCCGGAGTATGACATGTCATACTCCTGAAGTATGAAGTGTCACACTTCATGTAACCAGGGTACACTTAGTGCTACGTACCCCGTTACATTGTAGCTGGAATATTTTAAGCACAGCTTTATAGCTCGCAAGTGGGGCATTTGGCCTCCCAGTATGGCGTGACACTACAGCAATGCTGCCGGTGCGTGAGGGCGGTATTTAGTTCTTCGCCTTAAATATGTACTACATGTACTTGTACATCATCAAATGCATGTACGTGTATGTGTACGTGTACGTGTACGTGTACGTGTACGTGTACGCGTACATGTACGTAGAGCACAAGGCACTGTGGCCTTCTAGTACGGCTTTTCAGCCAGCAGCAATAGTACAGCGCTATGGCTGGTCTGGCATCATGGCCTCACAACTCGGCAATGGCCGGTGTGGCACGGAATGTATGTGTCTCGTGCGGCGCTATAGCTCCATGGCTGGCGCGGGGGTTTCATGACCTCCCAGCATGGCGAATAACTACGCATGCTGTGCTACAGCACAGTGGCTGGAGCCAAGTTGGCAACGTGGCCTCACGCGAGTTGGTGTCCGTCGGGCGATTTTCTCTCCGATCTCCTTCATGAGCCTTGGGGCTTGGAGGCGCATCGTCTTGCCGCTTTCAGCTCGTCAGTACCCTGACGAAGCGTTGGGCTGATAACCTGTTGAAGGAATGATTTGCGCAGAGCTGTTAGGGCAGTACATAACTGAATGAGGACAAAGGTAGAGAGGATTAGGCGGCCATAGTGAAGAGGAAGTCTTGAATGTAGAAGGAGAAGACGCTTGTGTGGTAGAGTTCGTAAAAGAGGAAGTGGTGATTTAGATAGTCTGGTGTCCTGGAGGGGAGTTATTCTCCACCAACCAGTCCAGTTATATAAGAAATCTCTATATGATATAGCACAATTATATTTCCCTAGATCGTCAGCATCACATCGGAGATGGTTACTTCAGCAAGTACGGAAAACTCCACTTCCAGAACGCCCCCTCAGGCACGCAAACAAGACGCGCACGGTGAGTTCCCATTAATGAATTGAGTTATATAAGTGTTAAACTGACGCTCTCTGTGAAGAATGTCTTCATTTACCAATGTCCCTAGCGAGTCAGCTCAAAAGCCCCAGCAGGTCGTCCAGCGACACTCTTTGAGCCAAATTCTCGAGCATTCGTCACATTCAGTGTGCTCTGCGGATCCTTCACTTGCCCCTACGCATCCAGAGACCGCTACGTATGCTGGTTTTCACAGTGGAGAAACACAGCGGCCTCTTGGAGTATCGTTTTTTCACCCACCCAGCTCAGAGTCGTTCCAGTCTCTCGTGGCACGGTCTCAGGTGGAAGTTGAGCTTTCTAAATGTGATGAATCTGAAGAGGAAAAGAGCTGCAACAATGGTGTCTCTGTCGACTACTCGTCATGGAAGGCAGACGAAGTTAGAAAGGAGTGCACTCGTAGAGGGCTTAAGGTGAAGGGGAATCTCAAGAAAGACGAACGCATTACGATACTCATGCACCACGACATGCTCCAAGCTTCAATCGGTTCCAGCACTATTGACTCAGCTTCGGTCGGTGCCAGGACTAAGCACTGCATGTACCGACTATTAAATCTGCTATTCTCTGATGAATTCGCCACGCGTTTCAGTCAGTCGGGTACGACGTATTGCTATATCACTATCGAAAATAATATATCTAATGAATTTGTTTTAGGAGATCTGTGCCATCAGCGCTGTAACGGGGTACAATCCAGTGTGCCCCATGTTACATAAAGAGTGACCCGTCACTCTTGTGGACACCTGATACACGGTACCAGGTGCTCTCGGAGCCAGTCAGTGCATGACTACTTAGCTCCACTATAGGTAACCTCTAGTTTGTATGAGACCCAAGCTTATCTTACTTATAAATACATCAGTCTTAAATCTACTCCTCTAAGTAGCAAACCGTTCCCACTGAGGCCGAGAACACGTGGACTTACGATCACTCGGGTAGTTAATACCCTTAAGCACTTCCTCTGTGCAAGGTGCTGTGTGACCCCGTCACACTTGGTAGCACTCGTAGTCAATCCAGCACCATCGCGGGTAGATTGAACTACCTGAAACCTCTGTGCGCTCAACGTTTGAGCCAAGATGGACCGAAGCGAGTTTCCTCGCTTGAACGACTCACAGTACGAGTCTGTTCGGAAGATGGGAGGCATCTTTGGACAAGATGTCCTTCGCAGCTTGACGGCGGCGACGCCTGCCGAGCAACAAGAACGCGTGACCGCGTTTGAGACCTACGAGCGTGGTCTCATCGCTCACGTCCGCGGGGGCTTGGAGGCCACGATGGCCGCTCCCCAGGCAACCAGGCCTAAGCCGGTGTGGCTGAAGGTCCCCGCGTTTGAGGGGAAGGAAGGAGAGAACCTTCACTTCTGGGTCCGTGAGGTGGAGATCGCCATGAAGGCGGGTCTCATCTCGGACGAGCCAGTTCGGGTGGCGTTTTCCCTGTCCAACCTTGGTGGACGTGCCAAGCACTGGGCATACACCAGGGAGACGACATCTCCTGGATGCTTTGCATCCTGGGCTCAGCTGTGTGAGCAGCTTCGAGCCGCGTTCCTACCGGCGAACGACGAGTTCCGCCAGCGCTCACGCTTTCTCGCGTGTAAGCAAGGTAAACGTGAGCTGCAGGAGTACGCGCAAGAGATGCGCACGTTGGTGGCATCTCTGGCAGGGAATCCTCTGCCTGAAGACATTAAGCTAACAGTCTTCATGGACGGCCTGAAGGTCGGTCTGCTCGCACCCAGCTATTCCGGGTGCAAGCGACAACTATGGAGGAGGCGATTCGAATCGCCCTCCAAGAAGAGTACAGCCACAAGCAGGCTGGTACTCTTCGGGAAGAAGAACATCGCCACGATGAGAATGGCGTTCCTCGGGAGGCGGAGCATCGCAGCAATGACGCTGTTGCTCCTGCTGTCACGCAGCCCGTCGATACCGGTGCGTACAGCGAGCCCGAGCCCATGGGCTTAAGCTCAGCCGAGATCTTGGTCCGCTGCTATGGATGCGGCGGACATGGACACTACCAGCGTGTGTGTCCCTCGCTAGTCCTCGGGAAGAAGACGGCCCGTGGGCCCCAAGTCCGGTGGCGCAGGCCACGGCCAGGTGGACGAAGACTTCCCGGCCACCAGTAGAGGCGGTATGCCCTACTGAAAAGCGCTAAGTCTTTGTGATGGGTGTGCAGGTTGTGCACACCACGGGACTTAGCCCAGAGAGACGTGGTTCTCTCAAACCGGTGAAGGGCAGTGATGGGCTGCTGGTAGTACACTCGGTGTACGGGGATACGGTACCCCTTGAACGTTTGATGAGTTCTGGGGCGTTGATACGCCGCCGGAACGTCGCTTGGCATAGCGACATCCGACTGCACTCTATGTCAGAGTGGCGGTCATGGGCTGGTCCTTGATGGACTAGCCTTTGGTACGGTAGTATCAATGGTCCTCAACGGACCTGAACGTTTCGGCTCGATGAGCTCGCGCACCGCGGTGTCGCTCGCAGTTCTCGCCATGAACAACATGGCTGTGCCGAACATAAGGCACAGCCCGGACTTTGGTGTGGCAAGGCTGAGAAGGGCCTACCAGTCCAGGTCTATGACGGAGCATTGGTGAGTCATGTTCCCACCTCCGTCATGACTGGGGCGTCTGATACAGACCGCCAGGACGTAGAAGCGTCACGGAGCTGTCAACGCGCTGACAGCTCTGCGTACAGCAAGACCATGCTCCGCTGCGGCAATGCCACGGGCGTGGGTCTTTTGCCCGGCGTGTGGACCTGCTACACCAGCAGCGTCCAACGCCGAAGGTCGTCGCGCCGTACGGGCTTCGACAGTGGTTATGCCTTTAAGCGCTAGCCAGGTGGGTAACTCAGGATCACACGGTCGCCCAGACCTTAACTGAAGAGGAAGGCGCTGAATGCGCTTCCTGTGTGGATAACACAGTACCACACGCAGTCGCCCAGACTATAACTGAAGAGGAAGGCATGACCATGCTTCCTGTGTGGATAACACAGTACCACACGCAGTCTCCCAGACTATAACTGAAGAGGAAGGCATGACCATGCTTCCTGTGTGGGTAACACAGTTCCACACGAGGTCTTGAGTGCCTCTGATGTCGTCAACGAGACATCACGACGTGGGTAACAAAGTGCCACGTCACGTCAGCCGCCGCAAGTCGGGTCTGAACTTTGTTCAGGCCGACGTCGCTTCAAACGACTCGGAGTCCAGGGCCCGGACTCCTCTGACTCGGTCGGTGGACACCAACTCTGTCCGGTGTGTGTGCGGGTCTGCCACGCCAGCTGATCCCAACACCGAAGGTCGTCGCGCCGTATGCGCTTCGACAGTGGTGGTGCCAAAGGGCATTCACCAGGTGGGTAACATAGGTCCACATTGCGGGTAACAAGTTCCGCAAGCAGCGAAGCTGCTTAAGGAGACCGACATTCGGTGCTCCGAGCGTGGGTAACAAAGTTGCACGCAAGGTCACTCAGACTATAACAGATAAGGAAGTCGCTGTATGCGCTTCCGGTGTGGGTAACAGAGTTCCACACAACCAACGTGGGTAACAGAGTTCCACACCCAAGGCGAGTAACATAGCGCCGCACACAGAGCCATTGGCTCGAGGCGCGAGGTTGTCTTGGCCTCGCCGGACGTGAGCAACTCGCTCGACGTCAAGTCGCGCAGACTCAAACTGCTGACGCGAAGGCTGAATGCCTTCGGTCGACACGGCCGACGCGGTCGACCATACCGACGCAGTGCACATGGCGGAGAGCCGTTGCGCCTGCCAGTGGCTATTAGAAGCCACGAGAGACTCAGTAGTCTCGAGGTTAAGTGGGGGAGAGGCTCGGAAATACCTTTCCTCCCTGACTTTCCAAGAGGCAGGTAGCCGGCGTGCTGCCAGTGGCTATCACAAGCCACGAGAGACTCAATAGTCTCGAGTGTAAGTGGGGGAGAGGCTCGGAAATACCTTTCCTCCCTGGTCTTGAGGTAAGACCAAGTTCCTTACGGAACCAGGCGTCGATGTACATCGACTGCAGGCTGGAGGCGAACAGACGGGCTAGAGCTGCGGTAGCTCTAGCCGAACAAGACATAGTGGCGAAGAAAGCCACGGGCGCAAGGTGCCTCGGAATCGCTGAGCGAATCAGCAGTGTTGGGGTTGCAAGCAACCACACACGAGGCGAAGCGCGGGCCTAGTGTAAGTCCCTTGGTCATGAACGACCTGTCGAGTAGGGTGAACGGAACGTCTCCCCCGCCGACAAAGCGGTTGCGGTACGTGATGTACGCAACGCGCCGGGTATAATGGGCCGTGGATCCATAACCCAAGTGTGGTGCACGAGTGCACACACAACTGACCAGGTGGTGGTCGAGGCAAGGCACGCAGTCGTAACTGGTGCCGCACCGAGCATGGCACCGTGGCGACGGCAGCTTGCCTCACCATGGGTTGGTACCCGTGAGTACTCGGTGTCAATGCCAGACACCAACGCCGCAGTGGCATGGTGGTGAGATATGCCCCACCACGGTCGAGTACCATCAAGGTGTGACAGACACTGGTATAGGTGCAAAGAATATGCACCATACCACGACCCGATGCGCTCTGGACGCTGTGAGTCAACGCACGTACCGTGCATCGGCACTGGCTGCTGTCGAGCAACCTGCCAGGAGTTCCACGTAATGAACTCGTCGTGCATGACACACATGAAGTGCACGGAGCACTTATGGTAGCTGTGGTACGTATCGTACACAGCGTGCCTCGTGTACGGTCCCATGGACCTATACACTGTGCTTGCACATGCGTCGTGCATGATGCGAGCACTGGCCATGAATCTGTTCAGGCGACAGCACAGCAGAAGCTGTTGCCGCCAAACATGGCAACCTTGTGGTGGGCGTACCGCACCAAAGGTTAGTACCGTACGGTACATGGTGTCGATGGGAGACACCTACACCACGGTTGTGTACCGTCACGGTACACGGTGTCGATGAAGGACACCTTCGCGCCGTTGGTATGGTGACCAAGACGCGAAGAGAGCGTGGCAAAAGCTCCGTCCGCAAGGATGAATCCTTGCTGGAGCCAAAGGCATGGCCCGAGGTGAGCTGAGAGCTCCCTCTAGTGCTGGGGAAGGTGTTGCCCTTCTCGGTGTCGTCCCTCGCGGGAGACACCATGCTTCGGACGCGTTTGCGAGGACTGTCGTGTCCTCTGGTGCGAGCTGTGGGCGAATGTCACACGTTCGGATGCTATTGCACCCTGTGCCAAAGCACTGTGCGCGCGCTAGCGCAGGAGCTAATGCAGCTCTGAGTGTAGGCTTTGCGGCCAACACAGTTGTGAGCATAGGGATGCAAATCCCAGTGAGCTTTGGCAGCACAAGTCACTGTGGGTGTGACTGAGAGCCGCGCCAGTCTCGTGGCTGCTCAGTGTGAGAATTCACCTTTTGGTGTTTTAATTCTCTCACTTCTGATTGGAGAATCAGTTGTGATTGGAGAATCAGGTGATTCTCAGTTAAGTGCGGGAGGATGTAACGGGGTACAATCCAGTGTGCCCCATGTTACATAAAGAGTGACCCGTCACTCTTGTGGACACCTGGTACACGGTACCCAGTGCTCTCGGAGCCAGTCAGTGCATGACTACTTAGCTCCACTATAGGTAACCTCTAGTTTGTATGAGACCCAAGCTTATCTTACTTATAAATACATCAGTCTTAAATCTACTCCTCTAAGTAGCAAACCGTTCCCACTGAGGCCGGGAACACGTGGACTTACGTTCACTC